AAAGAAAGAAAGAAAGAAAGAAAGAAAGAAAGAAAGGGAATGTAGTGAATGTGCACAGGTGGTACCCTTAGTGGCTGCAGCTGAGGGCGAATCCTGTCAACCCCAAGGACAAGCCAGTACAGATGTCTGAATACTAACAATACATAGAGGAGATATCAGGTATGAGCTGTGTACCCATATACCATGTGCAATTTTGTCTATAATTTATTTTAAAAGATGTATCCATGGATCCTTTTAGAGGAATATTTTCTTTTTTTTCAAACTAGGCCCCAGACCAGAACTACTGGATCAGAGTCTGTAGGGGTAGGACCCTGAAATCTCATGCTCCGAGCTCTTTAATGGAGCCTGTAGAAACACCTGAGTATCCTTTGGTTCCTACCTATAGGTTCCTACCTATAGGTTCTAGGAAAAGGAATAAACTGAAATGGTGGGAAGAGAATGGAAGCCTTTTTTTGATATCTCGAATCTCTTGGCCACATTTGTTCTCCATTTCTCAGTAACGGAGAATAAGGGGTGGATGACAGGAGTGAGACCAGGTGTGTGGGCAGGCAGACGGGCAGGCAAAGTAGGGTCTGTAACTTCACAAAGTATCATTCATCCCTTCTCATTTAGGACAGACTGTGATTCCTCCACCGCCTTGCTCTGCTCCTTCCCTGTTGCCAATGTCTCACTGGCTAAGAATGGACGTGATCGGGTGAGTATGAGAGCTAGAACCAGGCAAGTTTTGATGGCTTGAGAAAGATGTGGAGAGCAGGGATTGAGCAACAGAGATTTAAGAGGAAGGCTCTGAAGCAAGTGGAGCTTGAAAAGAAAATCTAGAAGTTGGTCCCAGTCACTATGACACATACCTCTAATCCCAGCACTAGGAGGAAAAGGCAAGATTAATTCCAAATTTGAGACCAGCTTGGCCTGCATAGCCAGATGCTATTTCCTCCCAAAAAAGAAAGAGGGGATGGTGGGGAAGGGGAGTCACAGTTGGTAGAGTACTTGCCTCATATGTATGAGGCTCTGAATTCAATCTCCAGTATCAAATTAAAATCCAGATACTTGTGTGTGCAGCAGGCCTTAGGAATGATCCCACCTTGCACTTATCACTTGAGTCATAGCTCATAAAGTTTTTGTTTTAGGCCCAAGTGAACAAATCAGCTAGTAGCAACAGCATGGCATCCCCTCAAGTATCAGAAGCTAATATGTAAGGCCAGACCAAGTGTAGTGGTCCATGAATTTAATTCTAGCACATCTGAAGCAGAGGCCAGCCTGATAATACACTGTGAATTCCTGTGCTAGTCAGAGCTACATAGTGAGACCCTGTTGTTTTTAAAAAAGCTACAAAGTTACACACACAAACCTGTCTTGGAAAACCAAAAATATAAAATTTAAAAGATCAGCATTGCATGGTTGGCACATGCCTTTGATCCCAGCATCCTGGAGGGAGAGGTAGGTAGATCTCTGAATTTGAGGCCAGCCTCGTCTACATAGACCAGCCAGGACTACACAGAGAAACCCTGTCTCAGAAAACGAAAATGTATATAAAATTATGTAGTTAGCCGGGTGGTAATGTCAAACACCTTTAATACTGGGACTCTGGAGGCAGAGGCAGGCGATCTCTGTGAGTTTGAAACCAGCCTGGTCTACAAGAGCTAGTTCTAGGATAGGCTTCAAAGCCACAGAGAAACCCTGTCTCAAAAAATCAAATAAATACATAAAAGTATGAAGATGATTAACAAGTATGTGTTACCTGTTATCACAAAAGGTACTATGCCAGAGGACTGGCCAGATAGATGCCAGTGTGACTGCAGCAAACCTGGCATCTGTGACAAGTGTACATGGAGACCGCCTCCTTCTCTACTTGGAAGGCCGTGGACGCTCCGATAAAGGATAGGATCCCATGCTTAAAAAGGACCTCGACCATCAGCATCAGGTTTTTTGTTTGTTTAGTTGGTTGGTTTTTTGAGACACAGTTTCTCTCTGTAACAGTCCTGGCTGTCCTGGAACTCACTATGTAGACCAGGCTGGCCTCAAATTCAGAGATCTACCTGCCTCTCCCTCCAGAGTGCTGGGATTAAAGGTGTACCCCAACTGACACTGGTTCAGTGTTAGTTTGACTGCATGAGTTTTTTAGTTGTTAATCTTAAGTTGAAAGTTACTTTTTAGAAGTGGTATTTAAGAAGAAATTGACTTTATGATAGGGTGTCAGCTCTTGTACATTGGCACACATCTGTAATCATAGCTATTTAAGTTGACATAGGAGGGTGTTTTTTGTTTGTTTTTTGAGACATGGTTTCTCTGTGTATCTCTGGCTGTCCTCGAACTCTGCAGATCCACCTGCCTCAGTCTCCCAAGTACTAGGACTAAAGGTGTGCACTACCACTGCCTGCTGGAGGATGTATTCTGGGCAAGATAGTTCCAGACTAATCCATATTGATAGGCTGTCACACACACACACACACACACACACACACACACACACACACAGTTGCATGTTGTGGCATGACTGACTAGAGAGGCAGAGGCAAGAAATCTAGCCTGGGCTACATTGAAAACAAATAAAAAATAGTTAGCCTTGCAGTTGTGATCACCACATCTCAGCTTCCCACCTGCTGAAATTAAAGGCATGCAGCACCAATCCAGTCTGGAAGTGGGTGATCTCAAAGTTGCCTT